GCACAGAAAATCACTCACATGAAGAAAGAAAAGATTGCAATTGCTAGCCTTAAAGAGGAACTGACTAAGAGGGGGAAAGTATGTGAAATAGCGATGTCTACACAGCAAAATTATTTCAAAATAATTTAGTCCGTGTCTACACAGCAGTTATTTTGAAATAATGTCGAAATACTGTCAAGCCGGAAGACTTCTTACTCCAACTCCTGTAACCCTCATTGTACAAGAAGTAAGGGAAGTCGGAGGAAGAGTGCTCTATTTTGAAATAAGTGCTGCATAGACTCTCCTAATTTTGAAATAAGCTATTTCAAAATAAGCTACGCAATTGACGTAGTTCAATTTGCGTAGCTTATTTCAAGTTACGCCCTGCTGTGTGGACACACCCTTAGAGAAGGTTGTTGGCAACTTCTGTACAGTCTTTCTCTCTGCACTGGTCTACACTAAGGAGTTTTTTCGAAATAACTCCCTTTATTTTGAAATAACAAGTGGAGTGTCCGCACTACCAAGCCCGTTATTTCAAAATAAGTGGCTAGTTATTTTGAAATAGTAACTCCCGCTTTCTTTGAGGAATAATGTTTATTTCAGAGTAGTTATTTTGAAATAGCATTGGTGTGGATGCTCCACTGCTTCTATTTCAAAATAACGGCTCCCTAGAGTCATTCAGAGTAATTGCTCCCAAGTGCTTCCTAAGGCTCTAAGTCATGGTAGCTTGTCCACATTAATGGAGCCTTCCTTGGATTAATTTTGAAGCTTCCCTGTACTGTCGACACACTATTTCAAAATAGTTATTTCGGGAGTTATTATTTCAAAATAACTTATTTTGAAATAATTTCCTAGTGTAGATATGACCAAAGGGAGACTGCCATGGACTAATTTCGAGCCTTCCTTGTACTATGGACACGCTATTTCAAAATAGTTATTTCAGGAGTTATTTCAAATTAAGTTATTTTGAAATAATTTCCTAGAGTAGACATGCCCTCTAATCTCTACAAGAACAAGGGGACATTCAATGACATTGAAAGGCAGCAAATACAAAACTGATAAAAGGAAATGTTTATCCATACAAATCACAGTGAGCCTGTGGAATTCATTGCCATGAGATATCATAGAGACTAAGGGTTTAGCTTGAGGAGAGAGGGGGGCAACCAGTTAGAGACAAAAAGCCAAAATAGCTGTGGATAGAGCCATGTATTATATATTTATTTTTATATATGGATAGATAGAAATAGTACACAGAATGTACTGATAAAAATAACATTACAGGACATTTCATACAAAAATCGATAAAAAAGTCTCTAGCCAATTAAAAAAATCACGGCCAGTCCATAGATCTTCAGAGAATTTAACAAGGAATAAACATCAAATTAAAAAAAAGCCCTTTAAAAATACAATAATATTCTCACACTAAAAAAAAAAAAAAATTCCACCCTGTATTTTAAATTTAACACTACTGCCTTATTATGTCCTGTGAGTTTTTTAAAACTAAGCGGAACTAAGAAGTAAATTAGCACAATTTGAAATGCCTTTTTCACTCCAGCTTGTTGATCTCTGGGGGTACGTCTACACTACAGCGCTAGTTCGAACTAACTTAGTTCGAATTAACTAATTCGAACTAAGCTAGTTCGAACTAACGCATCTAGAACTAAAAACTAGTTCGAACTAGCGTTTTGCTAATTCGAACTAGCAAGTCCACATTGAGTGGACTCTGAACAGGGCTTAAGGATGGCCGGAAGCAGTGCCGGCAGGGCATAAAAGGAGGACTTAGAGCATGGAGATGCTGTCTCAGGCTAGCCGAGGGCTGCGCTTAAAGGGTCCCGACCCCCACCCCGGACACACAGTTCTAAGGGGTGCCCCGCTTGCAAAGAAGTTCTGGCTTGGAGTGCCCTGAGTGCCCACACTGGGCACATCACACCACTCGGCCATCAGCCCGGCTGCACTTGCCGCAGGCTGCCATCTGGGGAGAGGGAGTAATTGGGGGGCTGCAGGAGAGCTTCCACCCCCAGAAGCCCGCAGAGCCAGCCCAGTCCTCCCCATCGGGGGCTCATACCCCATTCCTCCCTCTTGCAGGAGAGCTTCCACCCCCAGAACCCGCAGAGCCAGCCCAGTCCTCCCCATCGGGGGCTCGTGCCCCATTCCTCCCTCACCTCCTTCCACTTACCCTTCCCTAGCCCCCCTTCTTATTGATGTACAAAATAAAGGACACATGTGTTCCAACATTGACTCTGTCTTTATTGAAAAAAACTGGGGGAGACTGGGAAAAGGAGGTGGGAGAGGGGAAGAGAAAGGCTGGGAGAGGGGAGGGCAACTAACATGATCAGGGGTTGGGAACAGGTCCCAGATGAAGAAAGGCTACAGAGACTGGGACTGTTCAGCTTAGAAAAGAGGAGACGGAGGGGGGACAGGATAGAGGTCTCTAAAAGCAGGGGTTGGGTGGAGAGGGTGCATTCAGAAAAGTTCTTCCTGAGTTCCCATAAAGAAGGACTAGAGGACACCAAAGGAAAGGAATGGGTAGCAGGCTTGAAACTAGTAAGAGAAAGTTGTTCTTCTTGACAAAGCAAATAGTTAACCTGTGGAACTCCTTGCTGCAGGAGGCTGTGAAGGCTACAACTAGAACAGAGTTTAAAGGGAAGTGAGATCAAGTCATGGAGGTTGGGTCCATGGAGTCCTATTAGCCAGAGGGTAGGAGTGGTGTCCCTGCCCAAAGTTTGTGGAAGGCTGGAGAGGGATGGCACGAGACAAATGGCTTGGTCATTGTCTTCGGTCCATCCCCTCCAGGGTCCCTAGGGTTGGCCGCTGTCGGCAGACAGGCTACTGGGCTAGATGGACCTTTGGTCTGACCCAGGACGGCCATTGTAAGCTCAGGGCTCAGTGTCGGGGGTCTCAGTGGACCCCCTTGATTTTCATGCACACCTGGTCCTGGGTGGCCAGGCTGGCAGCTCTCCTGCCCTAGACGGCCACTTTCCTGTGCCTAGTGCGGAGATCGTGGACGAGGTCCACGATGTCCTCACTAGCCCAGGAAGGTGCCCTCCTCTTGCGGTCCAGGGCAGTAATTCAAATTACTCTACTGACAAACTATTTTTTTCCCAAAATGAGAAATTACAAGAAAGCCGACTTCTCAAAATGGATAAAGAATAGTTTCTTTGGAGACTATCTTTCATTGTCTGGCTATAGAATGAAGAACTGTAAAAAACAAATCAGTGGAAATTAAATGTTCTGAGACTAAAATTGAGAAGTGTGAATTGTGGAGAATTCCAATCTTGTTATAAAAATGATTGCCTGCCTTCCAGATATGTAGCATGTCAACTAAGAAAAAATGAAGGGAAAAAAAAGCTATTTCCAGTTCTCTAAGCCACTCCGATTCACTTTTAATTACTCTATGTTGTATAATGAAAGTCAGAAAGACTTATAGATAAAGATGAATTTTTAAGCCATAGGTATTCCTTCCCTATATTCTGCTGCCTCACTGCAAGTATTCCCAAAATACTTCAAGATGAGCTGACAGTTCAAGAGATTCCATTCAATTACTCTACATCAGTAGATTTCACAGTGAAAATAATAAGTTGCAGCTGGTTGTTGCTGAGGTAACATCTTCAAATCTAGTGTTAGTTTTCAGGTGCTTGGCTTAAAGAAACTAAGCAGTTGGGATCTTTTTTATTTATATGTTCGTCTGTTTTTTTCTATATACTATTATTTGTATTACAGATATATCCTGGTTGTGTTAACTGTACCATTAATTGGAATATTAACCCCAGTGCCGTCTGGCCAGAGTCTACCCCTTTAAGGGCCCGGGGCTGGGGGAGAGGAGAAGAGTTTTCCTGGTTGTGCCCAGAGAGGCCACCAGGGGGAACCTGGGAAGGGCTCTCTGGGTATGTCTACACTACAAAGTTAGTTCGAACTAACGTAACTTTAATAGGTGCTACACTAGCGCTCCGCTAGTTCGAATTTGAATCGAACTAGCGGAGCGCTTAGTTCGAACTAGGTAAACCTCATTTTACGAGGACTAACGCCTAGTTCGAACTAGCTAGTTCGAACTAGGCGTTAGTCCTCGTAAAATGAGGTTTACCTAGTTCGAACTAAGCGCTCCCCTAGTTCGATTCAAATTCGAACTAGCGGAGCGCTAGTGTAGCACCTATTAAAGTTAGTTCGAACTAACGTCCGTTAGTTCGAACTAACTTTGTAGTGTAGACATACCCTGGTATAGTTTCCTCATTTTTTTTACTTATGAAGATTATGGCTTTTTTATAGTTCTAAAAATTCAGGTCTGTCCCAGACTGCAAATTTGAGAGGTTCAAGAACAATATCTTAGAATAGTTGCTTCAGCCTGGCAAACAATAGCCTTTAGATTTTCTTTAAAGAAACACAGTGTAAACCAGGAACATGCTGATTCTTTTTTTGCCCTGGAATTTAAATATGACATCTATGTTGGCTGCCTTGTTCTGCATCCATGAAGACTTTGAGTTTAAGGTGCTTAACCCTCCCACCCCCGCTCTAACCCAATGCCTCATCCTTCCCCCAGATCCAGGTACCCTCAACCCCCCTTTCTAACCCGATCCCTCTCCACTCCCCCAGAGCCAGGCACCCCCAGCTCCTCACTCTAACCCAATGCACCTCCCCTCCCCCAGAGTCAGGCAC